TATATATACATGTTTGATTATCTGTTTTAAGAGGGCAACTCTCTGAATACAATTTATAATTCGAATTTTTGTGGAATACAAATATAAGAAAAAAATATCGACAACCCAATTTTTCTATCAATAATTTTACTAAATCTAAGATCTAAAATATACTCTTTTCAAAATAGAGTATTTTAAATTACGATACCATTAAGATAAGAATAAATGCCAAGTTGTCATTGTACATGTCGCGTGTATGTAGAAATGTCAAAAATCGACCAAACACGAGCGAGGACAAATAATCAAATTGAGTTTTATTGTAAAAGGGAAGAAATTGAAAAGAGTCCGTCTTTCGTGTTTCGTTACTTGTAATACGAAGAATTTTCAGTCATTCGTGTATAATATATGGTCACGGCTTGACGTTTCCGTCACGAATAACACGCGACAACAACACGAGCGTGTACTCCGTTGGGCCAACTTGGTACGTTTTTTTTTTTTTTTTTTCACCTCGGCCCCCGCATAGATCCTATAGCCGGACGAATTAGAGACGGGTCTCAAAGCGTAGCCGAGGTCTGGCTCTTTTCGAACACTCCTGACACCCGGTAGCTCCTTTATGATGAATATAGAAAGACGCGTAGTAATCGGAATCGATATTGCCGATCGCATCGATCTCGATTCCGTCAATTTTACTAAAAATACGCATCATCGAGACAAAGGATATGTGTTGAGAAATAAGAGCAGGATATTTCATGCGTTTAAAGCTTTCGTTTGAACGTGTGGGCTTATCGATATAAAATCGACCATTTTGAATTTTCTTCGCATACATAAATTCTACCGTTTTACTGTTATATTTCGAACGCTGCAACTAATTTTCATTGTACAGTTTAAAAGTAGCAAAAACGAAACTCTTCATAAATCTACTGATGTGGACTTGTAACCTTCGTTTCTCGCAAAGTATTGTTAAACCATCAAACAGAGACACAAGAAACTATTTATTCGTCCCCTTTTTTTTTTTTGATCGACAAACTGAAATATGATTTGCAACGCGGAAAGGAATGCATCCACAAAGATGTTTTCTTAGGTGAATTACGATATGTTTCGCCCAGGCGTTGCCATTATGTTGTGCCAAACTGGAAATTTTTTGCCGGTGGTAGTCGGAAAAAATTAGAGCAAAAAATATTGAGTGATTGTTGCCGAAAGGGTTATTCACTGGAAGAAGATCCCGAAGGATAGACCGAAGAGAGAGCGAGTAGAGAGGAAAAAAGTCCTGTAAGGAAAAAGCGTGTTCGCGTCTTTATGGCGCTTTAAGAATTTCTCTTTACAATGTTCTAACAGTCGCGAGCAAACATCCTTGTCTTCGTTTCTCTTTTTTTTCTTTTTTTTTTTTGCCTTCGATTCTTTCGGATCGTAGAAGAGAGGCCTTACGGATGGCGACTATTCGTGACTTGGCGTAAGTCGCGACACGAGTATGGAGAGATTATCTTGTTATAAGTTCCACGCTTGAACCAGGCTTCGAAAGTGAGAACTCTTCACCACCTCTTCGTTACGCTTTGCGATTTTACCCCTCTTTTAACCCTTTTTTGTCGCAAACCTCTGCCAAGAGAAACGTGGTGATAGTAAATCTTTATTGGACCCAAGAAACTAGATTTTAAAAGGATGTAGACGTTTATTTTTTTCCCCTCATATTTTATGCTAAAATATTTATGTTAAAAACACGATATATTAATATCAAAGAAGCATATTTTTTTGCATCAATTGTCTTAAACGCGAATCAAATAATTGAGAATTACGAAAGAGTAAATGATAAAAAAATGTTAATACATCTTAATTAATATAAATAATAATTTACTACTTATATTACTCCCTTGATTAATTATTCGCGATTAATCCAATAAAATGGTCGGAGAAAAATAGATACATACGTTTTTGTCAAAAAAATATGACGCCATTTTATATCAAATCAACATCATTATGCGGCTTTTGAAATCTGATGAAGGTTTTGACGAAAATAACTACTGACACGTCCGTTTCCCAAGATATACTGTTGTCGAGAGAAACGAAAATTACGGTGGATGGCCGTGCACATCGGGACGAAGAATATTATTTACCCATACCATCGTGCAATGTGGGGTGTTACTATAAGTGTCCATCTCGCGCGTCAATCTCAAAGCCCGATGCCGGTCTCGCGGCTGGACAGGACGAGTTGAGGGGCCAAAGTTTTTGGGAAAATTTCTCAAAAATGCAGGAAGTCGCAGCAACGGCGGCGGAACATATGCGTGACCTCTGACCGAGGTCAAAGCCGCGTAGCGCACTCTCCTCCCTCTTTCGATCTTCGGGGTCGGCCGAGGTCATGGGAACTCATGGGGGTCCAGCGGATACTCGGGCCCTCTAAGATCTCTCTCCCTCTCTTCTAACTACGCGACAGGGTGTTTTTCTGTCGCGTCATCGGTAGCCAGGTGAGCGGGTGACCGCGTGACCGAGAAATCTAGCTAAAAATCGGCGATAGCAAAGCTCGAGATCTCGTCGGGTGCTTCTGATAGTCAAGTGCGAAGATAATGTTAATCTTATTTGGATTAGATTAATTAACTAGTAATATTCTTTTCTATTAATAAATATTAATATATGTTCTATTAATAAATTTACTTTTAATTAATAATATTCTTTTCTATTCTCCAAAGCAAAATTCTTTATGCGAATCTTTTCATTATTGACGTCT